AGACCTTCTAGCACATGGACTCACCGGTGATGTAGCTTCATAGAGGAAGAAGGCTGAAGCAACAAGGAGAAGGTCCGTTTGATGTAGCTTGTCGCAGGCGATAAAAGAGCCAAGTAGTAGAGAAAGGGAGCTGAGTACAGAGAGTGTGCCTGTGCATATGTGCACATGTAAGAGCAGAGGAGACTCCGAGGAGTAAAGTTCCCCATATGGGCCACCAAAAATGTTAGATCTGGGAGAATTGTTAGGTCAGGGGGCTAGTGTGCTGAGCCAGTACTGCTGGTAAGATGCAAAGAATTGCACAGAAAGTAGATTGGAAAATATAGTTTATTTAGAAAGTAGATTCAAGAGGGGAGGTTCCGGAGCTTATAGAGAGTCATGGTCCAGCCATAGCTCAGTGAACACATGGCCAGGGCAGAATTTAACAAAAGTGATGGTGGTAGCTGCTTGAGATTAATGATTTTAAGACTTTCCTTTGGTGTGGGGCAGGTTGTTAAGGTGGTTGGGTTAGTATCTGTTTTACATCATCACTAAGGACGGTAAACACAGGTACCGACCTCCCTGATGACAGGATGGATGGGCAGGCCAGCCATATAGATGAGAAAGGCGGGTTACTGAAAGACAAATCCTTTAGAACAGAGATGTTATTCATCTCAATGTCTTGTGACTTGCCTAGAGTGCCAGAAAAGAATTACTGTTGTGTATGGGCTCAAGGAGACCAGACAAGTTCCATTTTGGGCTCTAACCTTTCAAGATGTATAGGGCGAGATATGGGAGATGGTGATCGGAGTTTTCATTCCCTCCCTGGGCACACCACGTTTTGGAAGCTCTTCAAAGTCAGTCTTTTTGAGTTTTTATGGAAACTTCATGACACAGGCATGATGGATTAAACCATTGGCCATTGGTGATCAACTTTGATCTTTGCTCCCAGATGGTTGGTGGGGTAGAGCTTAAAGTTCCAGCCCTGTAATTCTTTGTCTTGTAGGTGACCAGTTTCACCTGGATGCTGTCATGTCAGTCAATATTAGCATACAAAACGACAACATTTTGGCTATTCCAAGTATTTTAGGAGTTGTATGCCAAGTAGTAGGGATGAAGACCCAATATATATTTTATAATATCACAAACATTGTTTTTTAAACTTAAATACACAATACACACAAACACATATTGTACTCTAAGAAATGGTTGATTGATTTTCCTTAGGACTAATATTACATAAAAGACAAATCTTTTTCGCTGTGGAAGTGGTCAAACAGTTGTCATGATCAGCTATTCTACACCTCTGTTCTCTGCCACCTTAAATGAGGCGGTAGTAATCTCTTTCAAATAACTGGAAAACTGTTGGCGAAAGGATGTCAGACTCAAAAATATTTTTTGTTGCGTTTATTCTTGAACTAAATTTGAGGACTGAAGCCTGGAACACCCATCCTCAGGAGGTCCTGAGAAAGTGTGCCCATTGTGGTTGAACAGTGTCTTTGTTATATACATTTTAGGAAGGCAGACTTAATAGGAATCCACAAATGATTAAATATGAAATTTTCAGCGAGTTGGCCCAGGAAAGTGGGATATTTCCAAGGAGGAGCTTCTAGGTCATAGGTGGATTCAAAGATTTCTTGACTATTAATTTGGAGTCCCTATCTAAGGAGTTTGTGAAATTAGTAGAGGAGATGCTTTGTTAAGATAAGGGAGGCTGAGGCGGAAGGATTGCCAGAGCCCAGCAGGCCAAGACTTCAGTGGCGGGAGCGGCCACTGCACTCCAGTCTGAGCGAGAGTGAGACTCCAA